CTCATCCTTCCCTCGCTACCATTCTCCGCTGTGTCACCTGTGAAAGGGAAAGATCCGACGAGAAGATCTGCTGATTGCGAGAAACGATAGTTTTTTTTTCGCTGTGGAACCGAAGTTCGCCCCAATGTCGCCATCAATCATGCAATGCTATGCCGCCTCTCTGTCGTCTGCTTTCTGTAGTGATTAATAGTCTTATAGTAATCCATCATATTGATCATCATTTATTATTTGTGAATTAAAAAATCATAACTGAAGCATAGTTGAGTTACACAGAATTTAACTAAGAATTTTGATGTTTCTAACCTCTATATCAGAAGAAATAAACAGATTTGTGTTGTTCAAGTCTTCCTGGCTGAAGTTGGTCTCAAATGAACTGCGACGGACAAGCAGAAAAGCAACGCTTGAGGGAAAGGGACGCAGAGGTTGACGCTCCTCAAGCGCATGTCAGCACTTTTGTGGTCTTTTTCAGGAGCTCTAATTTGTCTCCGTGGATTTGTGGGGATAGCGAAGCCGACCAGACTAAATTGTCTCGTATACGTAACGCATTCCGATTTTGCCAAAAATCGTGGACTGGTTTGAAACCTCAATATGGCGAAGGTAATGTCTTGAAAAACAGATCGATGTCTGAATCAACGTTTTCCCTTTCTAAAAAAGTTGGGTAACAATTAGTTAGGTCTTTCCTCTACTTCGTGATTAACTGTTCCTACGAAAATGGAGGTTGATCGCGTCAGTGGTGATTTTCAAGCGCGTGATTCGTAGAGAAAGCGAGAATGAGCTCTATCTCTGCTACGCAGGAATTACTGTATAGCCGCAGACATACTTTCGATCTAAGTGATGGTGTTGTGCGATGATGGGTATCATCACGATAAATAACCTGTGCTCTTCCACAAAACACTGCTTCAGGGCAGTGTTGATAACGAGGAAAGGAAAACCCCGACCATGGCTCTGCACTGTGTGAGAAAAGCGTCGAGAGTGGATGTCCACGCGTGTGAGCGTGCCTGAACGCCTCGACGAAGTGTCGACAAATCCTCGACTGATATCAACCTTTGGTTAGTGGGGAACCATCATGCGCAGTAAGCACGCAAAGAAAAAAAAGCGCATGTTTCGGTAAACAGATCGATACGCAGAAGCGTCACACGTCAAATTCCCGCGTAGACCCGTGTACAATGGGTGCGACAAAACATTTCCCTCGGTTTCGAAGTGCATAGAAGACCCTTTGGACCTTTTCCACTTATTCTTCTACTGCAGCCTGTGCTATCGATCCTGTGCTCTAATCTCGAATTCGTACACTACGCGTTCGATGCGTCGCCTGTACGTGGCCGCCCCAAGCGCGCAACCTCTTTCTAGGTTTTCTTTGTCTCCGTCCCCTACCCGCGACCGCCCCCGAGTGCAATCCTCGAAGTTGCCTTTTTGAAACAGAATTACCCTGTCAGAAACTTGCCTTTCTCTAGCAATCTTCATACCATTCAAGTTGGGAAGAATGCAGCGATGTTATCCTTGAGCCATTCCTTTTCAACGTCCGATAGTTGTGATAGTGGGAAGTATAGGTGATAACACTATACCATCAACGAACAGAAACTCCTTATTGCGTGAGACCTGATGAGCGCCTAACTGTAGTTTGAACGTTTCAGCCATATCAGTGCAAGAAGTCTGGATGTTACGATGAAAAGTTGGCTCATTGGAAATAAGGGTAGAGGTGGCAAGTGGAGCAGGGATGAAGAAGGAACCATTTGAAATGGCCCGGAACCCGAGGAATGGGACCTTACTTGCCTGTTGATTGCGCATTTGACAGCGACTTCTCCCCCCCCCCCCCCCCCCCCCCCCCCCCCCCCCCCCCCCCCCCCCCCCCCCCCCCCCCCCCCCCCCCCCCCCCCCCCCACCCCCCCCCCCCCCCCCCCCCCCCCCCCCACCCCCCGCAGAATGGGTCATGTCCGGTCTTCTTGAACGCCTGGGCATTCTCCATTGTGTCTTGCTTCGTTTTGGCCTTCCAGGTCTTGTTATGGGGAATTATACTAACAAGCTAGAGCTCCGAACTAATTAGCTTGATACGTACGATGGTTCGAAACCGACCAATAAATCCACCATAACAACCTGGAAGCAAAACAGAGCAAGACTACCTTGCCTATCTTATCAACTCGCACGCATAGCGCGGAGTATAGATAGTCAGTGGAAATACGCCCTGCAACCGCGCCAAGAGTTCCTGCCAATTGCGCTGTCGGTAGCACCTCTAGGAGTACGCTGTCTCCCAACGAGACAGTTTTCCCTTTCTTGACCTTCTTTCTTATAGTAATTCCTTAGACAAGAACGCAGTGGACTTATGCCTCCAACTATGCGGCGTCACTCGTGCTTAGACAGTTGTGGCCAGGTGGTACGGCCAAGGTACACTTTACTACACTTCTCCTCTTCAGGAAATAGAGGAGCGGTGTTTTTTCCACGGTGATGACTATATTCGTCGTTTTCTAAGATGTAATGGTCTAACCCGGCTACCATAATATTTTCATGAAAGCCATTGTTGACCAGATACCGTGGCTCAATGGGGTGCAACTTTTGAGATACGGCTCGGCACAAGCATAAGCAGTGCTAATGATGAAGGCGAGTATGCAAGCGGTTGCGGTGCGGTCAATGACATCGCAAACACTGGAAATAGGAGTAGGAGAATGCGGGAGCAGGACGAAATCTTGAAATTCAATATACGTACTCGTATGCGCTTGCTATAGTGATGTATGTACACTGTATTCAGAAATAAGTCTGCGGAAGATAAAGAATAGGGCACAATGTGTGGAAATTGTTTGAAGACATGTTAAATATTAGCATGGAACGATATATGTGAGGGCTCACAAGCAATAAGGAGAAATAGAAAAAAGCTGTATTCTACGGTTATTTTTTCAAAGCGATGATATATCCCTATCCAGGGTGTGAATTGGTGGTGATTCTCAAAGGGAGAACGCGTGAGAAAAACTTGTTGAGGAACAGCTGCTCGGTCCCCATTAGCGGTGATTTAGGGCTTTAGTAGCTGTGTCATAAGATTTATTGAGCTACAGCCACAGGCAGAAGCAGGTAGTGGTGGCCACGGCGATCAGTTACTTTTATGCATTCTCGTACAGAATGCTCCTACTATCCGCCTTTTATGTTCTTTATATCGTTTGCAAGCAAGCTTTCCATTAGGCCAACTTACAGCTTAATCAATATCTGCACATTTGCAGATGCATCACGCACTTTTTCCATCCTTCAGCCAGGTTCGTCTGCAGTGCAGACTTAGCACCGTATCATACGGCACAAGACAGCAACAGCATCCAAAATCAAGTGGCATTGATTATTTCACGACCATCACTTACCGTATTACTGCTGAATTGCAGAAGCAGTAACTCACGTAGCGAAAACCTCTAAGGAAGCAGAAGTGGCTCTTGGTGGTATTGATCATTTTGTACCGTAAGGTATTGTGTTAGGTCTGCATTGCGGACGCACCTTGCTGCTAGATACAGTGTGTGCATGAGCATGCACGCCTTGTCGGCGCGTCAGGTACGAGTGGGTGTGTTCGCTTCGGTTTTTTGATTAACGATTACTGTCTATTTGTTAACTAGACACGTGCCATTCCATGTACTTTTCATATTCTGCAGCCAGGAAGTCTGTATTACAGACTCCACAACACAGGTGACGACACTCCCCAAATAAATCGACAGCTATCACTTCATAGTGGTACAGATGGTTGAAATGAAAATAAATGATAGCTGTAATTAGTGACATGTGTTAGAATACAGCTGCAACAGGTTAATCGTCCTGTTAGTATAAAACTATCTCATTTTGAGGAGGGCGTCGTCATTTGTGTGTGAAGTCTGCAGCAGACACACACCAAGACGCCTAACATAACGGGTTTTTCTTCTCTAGTAAGCTCAAAATCCTTGAGAGAGCAGCTGCTATATCTATCGTTGTTTCTGCATGGTCGATCAAGGGAGAAATGCGAACGTCGAGGGATTGCACATCACGGCTATCTCGCTGAGCCTGCGCTTGATTGCAATCCATGAAAAACGCCTATCACAACGTGGAGCAAAGCCGTATCTCTTCACGGATTCCCCCTTTTTTCCCTTCATGCATCAAGCTTCAACAACCTCGCGGAAATTCCTCAATACGCACTTTCGGGCAGCGGTGCATTCAAATGTAGTGGGAACCGAAGCGACTTGGCCAAAAACTGTAGCATCATAACGTGCTTTGTGGCTGAAACTGCTCTCAACCTTGAGATGAAATGGCTCAAAGGGCTGGCTAACCTTATAGAATCTGCTAAACTCACAGGTCAGACCATTTGACTGACACAAACAAAAACTTCAAACTGCATGCCGTGGATGTGAACAAAGGTACAGAAAAGAAAAAAGGCTGGCTCTAACTGAATAAGAGTGCGGAGAAGAAATTAGGAGTGTTTTTGATGCGTATACGCTACTTGCTCCGTGTATAGTTAAGCACGCGCAATATTGATTTTTTGCGAAGCTGTGTGCCATTAAGTCCGCAAGTAAGGTATGCCTAGACACAGAAAACTAAGTATTATATGAATAATTCCTTTTGGCGACCAGGTAAAATTCTCGATACCACGGTTCTAATCATATGTTTTGTTCTCCCAAATTAAAGGCGTGCACGGTTTGAGACCAGAACACTCCTCGGCGCTCATCCGGTAAGGGGGCATGGCGATTTAGAGCATTTCAAACCACGGAAAGCATACTGTAAACGTTCAGGACTAAGCCATTAGAAGGGAAGGAGCCCCGGGTCCGTGAGCAATCTTGGTTTTCCCCGGGGGGACTTCCTCCCCCTCCTAGGTAGTCCTGATAGCAGCTCGTAACTTATAAAGGACTCGCTTGCCTAACTGGACATAGAAGCAGACCGTGCAGACTGCATGCCCCGAGCGCACCACTCCTCTAAACGGTGATAGTGCAAATTTAGGTTGATCCTTTGAAGATGCAGTGGATAAGGGTCATGTGAAGAGTAGCTAGAGAAAGAAAAGAGAAATTTTTTTCTATTTTGTGGCCCAATGGACGCGTCTGACTTCTAATCAGAAGACTGCCGGTTCGATCCCGGCCGTGTTCTTCTACTGTAGCAACTTTGTGACGGTACTGGTACTATTATGTTACATGTGCTCAACAAACGCTGGGTTACTTCTCGTTTATAGTATTCACATGAGGGTATCTCATGCAAAATAACTCTTCTGGCGCATTATTTGCTCTTTCTTACTGAAAACGGCATTCTCTCACTCTCTCTACAACGTGTATAGAGAGCGCTTGGTTGCTGATATAATGCGAGCAGAGAAAAATATTTCCATGAAATCATTTAGTGCAAAATTCGTCGTCTGTTACACAATATGTTCTAGACTTGTGATTTTCAAACCATTCATTTCAAAGTGTGCCTCACACTTTTCTTTTCTTTTTTCTTCTTTTGTTTTCTTTTTTCGTTCTTTCTTTCTTCTTTTTCTTCGCGCCATGCATTTGACTCTTATCATTCATTGATCATGTGAACTTTTGAAGGACTATCGTGTTCATGATACAAATCCAAAACCTGCCAATATTCATGCCAGTTTTTATCGTATCACCCAAGTCTACTGGTATTAATTAATCAATCAATTATCAATCGTATGGTTATGGCTATGCGCAGTGAAAGAAGTATGTACTGCTCATCTCGAGGATGCGAGAAAGCCAGATGTCACATTCTATGGGAGATGTACTCGCTAGTGTAGGAGGATAAAAATCCTTGATTAAGGTCGGACATGACCCACTGACTTCATGTGTACTGAAATTTCGTCAAGATACCTTCCTTATATTCGAGAAGGCGAATGCATGGAGCCACCTGATTTTACCCGACACACCTTAAACTTGAATCCTAAGAAGGGGCGGAATTTCTGAACAATTTCAAATTTTCGAAATTCAGGGAAAAAGTTGCAGCTTTCCAAAAGAAATTCTTGAAGATAAAATGTCGATCTCCCCGAGTACGACCCTTTTCGAAAAATACATGACGACCCTTTTCGGAGAATATATGACACAGTACAATACAATACATGACCAACTGGCTGAACTTGAATCAGCTCACAGTTGACCTGTTTGTTCCCCTCTACCATTGTCGAAGTTCGTACTCAGCGCCCTGAAGCACCGTGTTGGCTGAGGAATTTCAAGCGTGCGCGTCACACTTTTGTCCCGAGGTTATTGAGGGCGCAACACTTGACGGATGAGACACTGAGTGCGGCGATTTAAATCGGCATCATTTGAGTGGGTGGAAGCGAGTGTGCTGCTTGAAACCGGGCCGGCTATTCGGTAGCCGTAATTCTTCATCTGCTTCACGTCGACATCAATCATTAACAGTTCGGACATCTGCTCGTTCATGTATACTCTTCACATTCTCTAATCTTACATAGTGCCAGCCAGCTGGTCAGCAGTGTTTAGCCTGCCAGCCGGCTTGCCGGTCAAAGCCATTATTTTTCGCGCCGTCGGCTCAACTCCTTTCACCTGATCCCTGACCTGCACATACTAACCAGTGATCGCCAGCTGTGTAAAATTGATTCTTTTCGCCCGATCATCACCACTTTCATCGAGCTGTTCCCTCTGATTGATTCTCTCTTCAACGGTCACCACGTTGAACTGGTTAGCGACCCACCTGAATGCTCGCGCTTTCTCATTTATTCCATCAACGGCCGTGTTTTGTTCCGTTTCCTCGTCACTTCTGTTCTACTCTACTGCAAAACTGGAACTCATCGTTTATTCCCATAGAAATTCCTATCGACCTCCTTCAGGATGTTTTTTTGCAGAAAGTGGTCATCGTTTTCCCATTGACGTATTGAACGTATTGAAATAACCCAAATTCCTTCTCTGGAATTACCTATGAGTTGCACAATTCACCATTCGGCTGGTCGATTGATAGGCTGCGGACCGCGGCGATCCTTGTGATTTGGCATAATGGAGAACTTGGCGCCTTACAAACTTCTGTTTGTTGGTCCGAGTCACAAGTTGTATGAGGAAATTAGCTTGCAGGACTCATTTCCCAAGAAAAAACACGCTATTAAGGTTTTTACCAAGAGGTAAGCTAGTGGTAAATGGCGCCATAAAGCTCTCACGGAACTAAACTTGCTCACATCAGGGAAGTTCTCCACCCAACGGCATAAGTCGAATATCGATTGATTTCGAGATCGCTTCGTAGGCCATGTGCAATCTGGACGGAAGTCGAATGCGTGGCGCATTCTTAGGCATGGATGTATAGGTGTTGAAATAATAAACAATTTAGTGAAGCACTGCAGCTGTTACACTCTCGAATGGTGCTGACTTAGTTAGGTGGGGTTTGAGGAGAGTGTGGGAGAATGAAGTCTCCCGCTATCTAAAGACCAAGTTATTGAAAATCTCCAGGCGATCATTTCAATCCATTTGTTATTCAGCGAAGTTCCGTCGCCACGTCCTTTTATGACTTCCCTTCGTGGTGTGTCTCAGAAGCAACTTCATGATATCAGCCTCTCCTCTTATTTTATTCGTTTTTGAAATCGAGTAAATTTCTTCAAGAGCCTTAATTAGTTTGGTCAGTTTTGTCCATAGACGCCAGTTGACTGTTTCTGCCTATTTTTGAACTTCTATTTTCACGATATTCACCACTTAGTATAATTCCACTACGAATGCAAGTTTCTAACAACACTGCAAAGTTTTCTGGGGTTTTTGGCAATTATAATAAAAGTCACGTATCTCACATCAAAACGGATTCATATATATAATTTCTAATAAATCAATACTATTCTTAACTTTTTGTCTTTTTTTTCATTTATAACAACACTATCTTTTTATTTTTTGGTTCTATATTTATATATTTTTTGTTAACTATTCAACTCGGGCATACCAGCATATTCATGATCGGAATTTTTCCCACGGCAAATACGATTGATTCTAGTCACGATTTTTTCGATTACTCATTAGATCTATTTATTCGACGCCTATTGACGCCTGTCCAGAAATATGTAGCCTTGCACTTCGCACAGTATTCTTATGATTAGACTTTTTGCAACCAGTTTAATTGTTGTTGAATGAATTACTATTGTAGCATCTTTTGATTATCCTACTATTCTTCTAACTGTTTTTGTTTGTGTTCGTTGCTTTGAACTGACGGTGAAGGAGGACGTCAACTCTAGTTGTTGGTGTTGTTTGTGTGGGTTGGTTTTTTTTTGGTGGTTTTTTTTGGTTTTTTTTTTGTTTGTGTGTGTTTTTTTTCTATTCTAAGGAATATTGATTGCCGTAATCGTTACAACAACGCCATCCTGGTAGCCGACAAGATTCGCATGATTGTGCCACCATGGGCAAGTGAACTCCTTTTTCCCCCCCCCCCCTCTATCGATACAAGATCTAAAGCAAAGTTCGGGCTCAGACCCACCTAAGAAGCCCTTACCATGGCTAGAAGTGCTGGGCACGCAAGTGCAAAGTTAGCGCCACCTTTCTACATCGAAACCCGTCACCAGGACCCTAGGCGCCATGAACTTCTAACAGACTCCACCAAACATAACATGGTCCGCCCACCGATCGATGTCTTGTCTGCGTCGCTGCGTTGATCTGCTATGCTCTCTCTTCTCGGAATTCTCTACCACCCTCTGCGCTCACATTATCTCTCATCTCCCTGCCTGTCTTTTGAACTTCTCCACAGCATAGAGCAAAAGGCTCGCATTTCCTGTGTATTTCACGATTTTTTCTTTTTTCTCCACTGGCGGTCCATCTCCCATCCTTAATTTCACATTTGAGGGAAATCATTCCATCAATTTAATTCCTGATTCTTGCCTTTAAGGACTTGATCTGACCTTTTCTTTGCCTTGTTTTTTTCTCCCTTATTTACTTATTTGTATCGCATCACGCTTGTTGTTTTTCCGCCTGCCACTCTGCTGTTTCACAAATTCATAAATAAATAAGTAAATAATAGTAAAAAGAATAAAAAGAAATAGATGTACGAATGGCTAGAAGCTAAGAGCATAATAAGTATTGGTCTTTTTGCGGTTTGCATGCCACGCTATGCGTTCGTTTTCTTGGATCAGATCTGTGTTTCGATTTATATGAACCCAGAAGTTGAAATGAGAAAAAACAAAATGCAGATGGTCAAAAACAAACTATCAGCAATGGCAACATTCCCTCATAAGTGTAGAAATATGTAGACAATTCAAAGACAAGTATGCAGTCGTTTAGATTTCTGTTATTGTGTTGAATTCGTTGTGATATATTTACAGATGGATGGCTTGAAATTTGGCGCAAATTGTTTCTTTTTGTTTTTTTTGTAATTTTAAATTAATCTCGTAATAACTTCGTATCCTTTCGCCCACTCACAGCTCTATTTGCAAATGTAAGAGCGATTGGCGTAGGACTTACGCTCTTCATGTCGTCGCCACAAGCATTACCCAAACTTTCGAACGATCAAATAATGACACCTTGATTGGGAAGGAAAACTAAAATTCAACAGTAGATGAGTGAAGTATTTTGCCGCAATAAGATATAAATAAACTGCAGATTTGAATAAACGACTTGGCAAAATTTTGCGCATTGCAGTCCCCTTTTCGAAGCGGGCCCCATTCACCAGGGAGCCTCAGCAGAATCACGCTATGACAGACCGTATCTAAAGCTAAAGGCAAGTCCTCGAAAAATCCAGCTTGACGAGCGAAGAAGCGACAACTGGTATGAGTACCACCTACCGAGACAGCAAGGACTGCGAAGTTTTTTTGCGCAAATTTTGTTGATGTATTTTCAACGAGTTCTTTCCGTTCTCTAATTCTCCATTTTCTTCTGGGATTCTCTTCGCTTTTTTCTCGAAAGAAAATCCTTTGTACAACAGCCTACGTCGAACAATTCAGCTTTTTCCGCCTCCTCCAACATCGAGACTTCATCTTCCTACGAAGCCTTCAGAAAATTAAAGTTATAAAAAGAAGCAATTGTTCAAAAAATCATGAAATATACAGGGGGCCAGAAAAAAAACGACATTTTGCCCATGTTGCACTTCGGCCCTTTTTTCCTCTCAGATTGTCTCGTTGACGGACATTCTAGCAGAGGTATTCTTTAAGTGTCCCTAATAATACGCCAGTCCAATCACTCACT